TTCTATGGTATCTATGGTATTTATTTATTCTATGGTATCTATGGTATTTATTTATTCTATGGTATCTATGGTATTTATTTATTCTATGGTATCTATGGTATTTATTTAATCTATGGTATCTATGGTATTCTAAAAAGCCATTATAAGATCAAAATCAAGCACAAAATAGCATTAACGTAATTAATTGTAAAAAAAAAAGCATTAACGTAATTAATTGTAAAAAAAATGGTTTTGTAATGTTACCAGAAAACATATTTTATCTCATATTTGTAGAGGAAAGTGTCTCCTGATCTGTTTATTTAAGATTAATCAAGTAAAAATCAAGCCAAAAAAAACAACAGAAAAAATACAAAGCATAAAACATATTAAAACAAAGAGTATAACAGATATTTACATATGTAGATATATATATATATATATATATATATATATATATATATATATATATATATATATATACATATACATATATATGTATATATCTGATATAGTAGTAGTAGTATATATTTGTTACAACAAATATAAAGACAATTGACAGAATACAAATGTAGATTGTCAAATCATAGATAACATTTGTGAAGCTCATAATGCAACTTCCATCAAAGGGAATTGCGAGCTGTTGTAACTTTGAAGCCTATCAAGTCTCGCTTAAAAGCTGTTGACAGATGAAGAGTATACTTCATTATCTGGCAAGCTGTTCCATGCGTTGGCAATTCGGTTATTAAAAAAATTAAAACAAGTTAAATTGTTATTATATTTTTCCCGGTGAAATCTCTCTCTGTGATTAGCTCTCGGCGGAATTGTAATAGGAGGAAAATGCCAGTTAATTATGTCAATGTTTTTCTCAATTTTAAATTTCTGAATGAGGTCACCTCGTTTACGGCGGTCAATTAGAGATGTGAGGCCAAGTTTTTCACATCTAGACTGATAGTTTAAATTTTTCAATTTGTGCGGTATCTTTGTGGCTCTGTGTTGTATTTTCTCAATAACTTGCTTGTCTTTCACCAAATGAGGGTTCCAAGCTGGGATAGCAAATTCAAGTAGAGGACGGACATAGGTGGAGTATAGTTGTTTCCACAGAGAAGCATCACAACATTGGAAGGTATGTTTTAAAATACCAAGCATTTGGTTTGCTTTACATAATGCGATGATGGATTGGCTTTCCACTTTAAGATCATTAGTAATTTGGATTCCCAAGTCACGTTCAGAGGTGGTTTTTTCCAAATTTGTTCGCAAAACTATCGAATTAGAGCCAGTTTCTTCCATTGAGTACTCGAAGGAAATTGAATTTTTTTGACTAAAGTGCATGACTTTGCATTTTTTTACGTTTAACTCCATGAGCCAAGACTTGCTCCAAAGAACAATTTCATCAATGTCTGATTGCAGTTGAAGCTGAGCTGCAAGTGTATTGACAACGCTGAGGATTTTAGTGTCATCAGCATAGATTTTACAAATGTTTTTTTTGCTTATGACATCTGGTAGGTCATTGATGTAAATGACAAATAAAACTAGACCCAAGACTGAACCTTGCGGAACACCACTAGTCACTGGTAACCAATTCGACTGAATGTTACCAAGGATAACTCGTTGAGATCTGTTGGTTAGGAAAGCTTTAATCCAATTAAGAAGATTCCTTTGATTCCATACATTTTTAGGTTATAGAGCAACTGTTGATGTGGTACTTTGTCAAATGCTTTGGCAAAATCCAGGAATACAACATCAACTGGTAGTTTTCTGGCCATGTTCACGGTCAAAAAGTCCATTGTTTCAAGCAGATTTGTGACGTATGCCTTTTTCTCTACAAAGCCATGTTGACAATTTGAAAGAAGGCTGTTCAATTTTAGATGCATCATGATTGCTTTTTTGACAAGTTTCTCCATTATTTTACATGGGATTGAGGTAAGGGAGACTGGTCTGTAGTTTGCTGGATCGATTCGAGAGCCTTTCTTGAACAAAGGCGTTACATTTGCTTAAGACCACGAGCTTGGAATTTCACCATTGTCAAATGACTTTTGAAAGATAAGGGTAAGTGGAGTAGTCATAAAAGTAGAACATGAGCGTAGGACATAAGGACTGACGCTGTCTACACCAAGCGATTTGAATGGATCAAGAGATGAGAGCTCCAGGAGAGTAGCCTGAGAGTCAATTGTTATGCTGTTGATGATTGAGTTGGTTCGACGACTAAAGAAAGGAAGATTGTCATTAGATAGCTCTTTGCTGAAAACTAATTGAAATTGATTTTTAAGTGAGTTGGCTATTGTAACTTTGTCAAAGCTAATAATCTCACTGAAACTGGTAACCCGCATTGATGAGATCTGATTTATGGCAGAGTGCTTACTATTTATGTATGAAAAAAGTCTTTTTGGGTTGCGCTTATCATTGGCCAGAGCAAGTTCGAAGGATTTCAGAGAAGAACGACTTAATTTTTTCACAAACTTTCCTATTTGTTTATATTCATGGACCAGGGATACAATTTTCCATTTTGAGCTGACATTGCGGGCCCATAGTGACTTTTTAAGACAAATCAGAGATAATAGTTCTTTTGTCATCCATGGTTGTTTTTTGCGATATGGTTTGTTTGGCATACATGGGATAAATCGAAGACAGCATTCATTGTATTTGTTGAGCCAAAACTGGTAACATTGTTCCGCGTTTAAGTTTTTAAAGACAGATGACCAGTCAATTTTGTTGAATTCTTCATTGATTGTTTTTGTAGTTACCAAGCTTGTAAATGAATTAAGAGCTGTTGAAATGTGACGATTTGTCACTAGAGGCCAGTTTGTTCATTTGCCAACTATACAAAGATTTCATTTGCTACTATTCAGAACAGTTGTTCTGAATAGTAGCAAATGAATTCTTTGTATAGTTGGGAATCTTCAAGTTGGTTTGAGACGAGCTTGTTTATGTAGATGGCTACACCTCATTTCGGTTGAGACGGTCTGATCGATAGAGGTTATAGTTTAAAAGAGTGGGAGTTGATTTTTCAGTAAACCATGTTTCTGTGATAAAAATAATATCAAAGAAATTGGTTTCTGCAAGTAAGGAGAGTTCAATCAGTTTTGATGGATTAAGAGAGGTGGCATTAGTGTAGAAGCAGGAGAGATAAGGTAAATGAGTTAAAGAGTTTGCAGCATTGAGGGAGCTTGAACTAGGATAATGCTGAGAGCGACTGAATGGCCTCAGCCGCTGATTTCCATTTAAGGAATGGGTTCCTCTTTCTTTCATTGATGTTGACTGTTCGGGATGTATCAATGCATTTGATTTTTTCGCTGCGGATGACAAATCGAAAGGGCTTGTCAAGTAAGTCTTTTGCCAATAGTTCTGCGTTTTCAGTAGCTCGCTTCTTGTTTAGGCTGTTGAAGGTTTCTTGTTCAAGAGGTGTACGGTCTGGGCAGATATAGAAAGATTCTAATTCATCTACTGAGGCAAGTCGCTTTGCATTAAATAAAAGATTGTTGCGGTGCTCATTTGTATCCAATTCAATAAGAATTAATTCTTTTTGGTTGGCATCGTTTGTACTTAAACTGGTTGGTATTGGACTTGTAGTATTGATCTTTTTTGTTAAAGAAGTTTTTGCTGGAAAATGTCTGACAACTTTAAAAGCAACATTAAAGTTAATTTTTTGGAGCACATTCTGAACTGAAACTAGTCTTTGATTATTGTCAGGGGCTTTTGGAAGGCCTGCAATAATGGCTCGTTTAGACTTGGTTTCTACAAATTTGGCATTTTCGTTGACCGCTTGGATGAAGGCTTTGTTAGCTTCTGAACCACGTTTGCCCAGTTAAGAATTGTGGTCAAATTAGGAGAATTTGACTTGGGAAGTTGAGAAAGATTTGCTTTCAGAGTACTATTTTCGTATTCAAGAGCAGATACACGGGCAAAAAGGTTATTGACTGTGGCTATTAACTTTGATATGATGACATCATGTTTATGAGGAGCAGCTGAATGGTTACCTTGTCCTAAACCGGGCCAGTTGGCTGCTAGAGCAGTAAGTTGGTCAATCGAATATAGTGTACTCATTTTGCACAAAAGGTTTTCTATTTCCTCAATATGAAATGAAAAGAGGGCTACCACTCTGAATAACAGTGGATTACCTCTAGGTCGAGAATTTTTTTTTTTTTTAACTTATTATTTGCCTTATTACACAGGGACTAAAAAGTTTCAGTATGTGTTTTTTTCCGTATATAGATATGTATATAATGTATGCATGTATACAGAAATTATTAAAAATTAAAAGAAAGGAAAAAATAAAATTAATCTTAATACTTTATATTTTCTAGGATAAAGTCAAAGATGGAGATGACAAAAAAGTGAATGATGATGCAAAAGTTAATGATGCATTAAAAGTTGAGAATAAAGTTGCAGAACAATTTAAATCCTCAGAACAATTTAAAACAGATATAAATCGATCTTCCAAATCTTATGAAAGTAAAAAGCGATATCCTGAGCGCAATGATAAATATCGTGAAAAAGATGATAGACAAAGTCGGTCTTATCGAAATGATGGACAAGATAAATATAACAATGATCAGTATGAAAATCGCAAAAATCGACACTCTCGTGATAAGGAATCAAATCTAGAAGATGTTTCCAAAGAGCGAAATATTTCTAAAGAATGTGAAAAAGTTGAAAAAACTAAAGAAGGTACATTTTATTGTTTTACTCCATCTCTTTATTACTTTTTAATCAAATTTTTTTTTTGCATTTATTATTTTTTAATTTTAGTTGAAAAAATATTTTCTTTAAAATGATATTCACATATATATAACAAAATTTTATTATAGAAATAGTTTAAAAAAAACCTTAAACAATTTTAAAATGCCAGGCGTGGCTAATATAAGTTTGTAATTTATTCTTAGATTGCAAAATATTTTCATTTAACAGAATTAACTAGAATAATAAAAATAATGTTAATAAAAATATTTTTATTAAAAGATAATAACCAATAAAACAAAATAATAAATAATAAAATTTTATACTCTTATATGAATAACATACTTTATATAAGTATATATAATAAATATTATTTATCAAATATATAATGTTATAAGAAATGTTGTGTATATAATAAAATGCGTATTCAATTTTTTGTATTATATTTGTACTCAGCTCTCTAGAAAGTAGTATTATTATTATTAAATAGTATAACATTTAATGATAATAAAAATAATAATAATAATAGCAATAACATGGTTTTATAATTTGATTTTTTAATAATTTCAGGATCAATATATATATTTTTTATTCAATAACAACTATTAGTGGTAAAACTTTAGTGATAAAAACAGAGTTTATAGTTTTTAAAAAACTAAAAATTTAAAGACCAGAAGCATTTCCAGATATCGCAATTCATGATTACTTAATTCAAGCCTTAATTTTATTTTGCATATAGTATGAGCATCAGAGAATTGCATATAGATAAAATTGAAATGTTTCCAGCAATCAGTTTCCATCACTTCCTCTGCTCATTCTGTACAGACGAAATAAAACTATGATAATGTCAGAAATCTTTATAATAATCAATTATTGAATTCAAAAGCAATGATTGTGGTAAAGATGTTGGCTTCAATGGGTTGGGTTAAATGGAGTATGTACCAAACATTCATATTTTTTTTGTTTGTAATATAGTAGAGTAGATGGTGAACATTTTAAGTGAGTTGAATGGCAAGTATGCATCAACTATCAGCCTGGAAAAATGACAGCGTTTAGTAAATGGATTGGCAAAGCCATTTGTTAAGACTCTAGATATCATGTAGGAGAAACTTTTCAACAAGTCTAACTTTTGTTTCTAAAACTAAAAAAGATAAAATATAAAAAGATGGCATAACATCACTCACACTTGCATTTTTTTTTTGCTCATCAACAAACATAGTGAAAGGGTCACCAAGGTATTGCAACGATGAAAAGAAGATATCATGGTCGATTGAGCGCAGTCACAATGAGAAACTATGTATAGGTTTAATGTTCAAGCCTCAATCATCAAAGGACTGCTTGTATAAATTGAAAAGTTTTATTTTTGCAAAAAGTTTTAAAATTCAAAAGCTGATTTATTTTTCTTTATTCAGAACTTAAGTTAACATTAGAGTTTTATTTTTACTTTAATACTGGTAGTCACTTGTGCAATTTTCAACATCCTTAATGTATACTTTACAATTAAAAAAGATAGAGCATCTTAAAGAGTATTGATGGTATCTTAAAACTGATTTCATTTTAAAAATCAACACTTTAAGCTATATTATAAAAATGTTTATAATTTTTTAGTTAAGTTTATTTTATTGAGCAAATTTTTCCTAAATAATTTTGTTTTTATGTTAGCATATTTATTTTACTTATTTGCTCCATTATTTTACAACAATTCAGTTGCTGAAACACCAGATGCAACAAGAGTCAAAAAGTTGCAACAAGAACAAGATAAAGTTGAAGAAAATGAATCAAATGATAAAGCTCCTGTAGTACCAACTGAAGAATCTAAAAAAGAAGCATCTAGTTCAGTGAAATCTGCAAAAAAGGTTTGTTTATTTTTTTAATGAAAAAATTGCCTCATATATTTTAATCAAATAATCTGCTAAAAAAATAAATATAAAGAAATTTTTTTATGTTTTTATGATTTATATTATTATTATTATTATTATTATTATTATTATTATTATTATTATTATTATTATTATTATTATTATTATTATTATTATGTTGTTACTATTTTTATATTACTTTTTTCTACAGTTTAAAATGACAAATTCTTCATATTTTTTAAACATTAAAAATCTCAAAAATACAGAGCACTTAAGGTTTTAACTTAATTAGGTACACTAGGGTTCATAAACCTAAGACAATAAAAAAAAATCAACAAAATATTATAGATGAACCCACAGTATTATAGATGTACAGTTTTAAATAAACTCTTCGGGGTTGTTTTTTTTTGTTATTTCAATTCACCTCCTCTAGGAAGGCCATTACATCAGAGGAAGCTACTATAGTAACTCCGAAACACAAACCTTGGAAAGGTTGCTGCGCTTAATATTGCTTTTAATATAGCCATTCTAGTTGTTGTGAAAGAGAAGCAGTATAGGATGTATATCTGAATTACAAGTTCTCTGACTGGTGCAGTTTTTATTGGACATGTGCACTTATATTGTTTCAAATAGTCAGAAAATCTGAAAAAACTTACATTTAAAAAGTTTACAACATTAAAAGGTGAAGGTTTTTTTCTGCAATTCTTAAAGACCTGACATCAATCACCAGAAATTTTAATATCAGCCTTTATATTAACATTTGCTATGTCACGATCGCATTCCATATAAGATTGACCTTGTATATAGCAAATGATACTTTAAAACATTTAAAAAGTTTTTTTAAAAGTGGACCATCCAATACAAAAACAAAACATGGTGTAATTTTTGTTTTGTCCTACACATCAATCACAAAAGAAATGTAATTCAAAAACTGTGAAAGGTGAATAATAATAAAATGACAAAGCATAGAGCAAATATCTTATCTTACTTTTTGAAAAAAAAAAACTTAAGCTGTCTTCAGTAATACACATCATTTGTTGATTTATTAGGCAATTTGAAATTCTTCTGAAAATTCAAACGCGTCTGAGATTTTTGCTCTTTTTTTTTTTTTGCATCTGACTTTTGTAATAAAGTACAGCTGCTTTTCTTGTTATAAAGTACAGCTGCTTTTCTTGTGTAAAGTTCATGCTCTGTTTCAAGATCATTCTTTTTTTTAATAAGTTATTAATACCTTCACCAACTACATTTAACAGCTCTTGGTCAGTGTGTTTTTTATTTACAATGAAGTCATCACTAGCTAAACAAGTGTCTTTTAGTGGAAAGCCAAACCCTATATTAATTTTATTGTTAAAAACTACTCTATGTTTTGTATCCTACTTAACAGTTGGGTAAGCATGTTTGAATAGTTCAAACATTTTAAAGACATTTAGATTTCCAGTTAACTTTTTTAGTTTTATATTTTATATTTGTCTTTTAGATTAGACAATCATTGCAAGCCTTTTTTTTTTTTGTTCACTTTTTTCCGCTGCTCCTTATTCAATCAATACTTCTAACAATTTCTTCTAACAATTCACTTTCTCTTCTTGACAAGGTCCAAAAACGCAATGTAAATGTTGTTGGACCTGGACTATTTGCTAAGCTTGAACCTCTTTCCCATCGTCGTAAAGTTGCATCTCTTTCTCTTTTCTACAAACACTATCATGGTTACTGCTCAAAGGAGTTATCATCTCTAGTTCCATCAACTAAAATTTATTCTCGTTTTACTCGTCATTCAGCTAAGTCTCATTCGTTTACTGTATCTCTCCCTGCATGCTCTAAAAACTTTTATTCATCTAGTTTTTTTCCCCGCAATTCAATCCTTTGGAACTCTCTCCCATCTTTAAGTTTTCCTGACTCATACAATCTTCAACTTTTCAAGTCTTCTGTCAACCATTTCCTTGCTCTATAACTCTGTTCTTTTTTTCCTAGTAACTCCCAATAGTGGTTGCTTGCAGCCTTGTTGGGAGTGAATGCAAATAAAAAATAAAAAAAATACTTGCGGATTTTAGGAATCCTGTGGTTTTGCAAACTATCAAAACTACAGACAACGCGGTATGTTGCAAATGTAACCCTGGACATTACTAATTATTCAATTTGGTTATGTTTTATTTTATCCTTTTTTTTGAGGCACTGGTTTTTTCACTTGTTAAATAATATAAAATATGAAATAAAATATGCTTATTTAAGAAATGGTAATAACTCAAAAATTTCAATAATCTGAAATAGCTGGTTTTTCCTCTGAGGTCTTCTCATATATATAGTATTTGTAGAAAAGAGAAAGAGAAGCAACATTACGATGATGTGATGATGGTTGGAGGTTGGCTGCAAGAGCATGTACAACTATGTTTACAATGCATTTTTGCACCTTGTCTAAAAGAGAAAGGGAATCATTGGAAGATCTGCCCCAGATATGGCAACAGTATTCCATACAAGGATGGATTTGAGATTTATAGAGATAAAGAATAGAAAACAGAGTAAGAAAGTGTCGAGCATGATAAAGAAATGCAACCTTAGCAGAAGCTAATTTTGCAATGGGTTTGATATATGGTTTCCAAGAAAGATTGGAAGTAAAGGTTAATCCTACAAGATTAAGGGTAGATGACTTGTCGAGTATATCACCATTCATAAATATAGGTAGGTCTAAATTATTACGATAACGATTGGCTGAAAAGTATTGAGTTTTATCTGAATTAAAGTTCACCAGTTACTGTGAGCTCCATGCTGTTACAGAAGTGAAATCCTTTTCAAGCTCAAAAGCCCCTTTCAAGTTATCAGAGAGTGTTGGCTTCTTATCAAAATAAGAATAAATGGTAGTATCATCAGCAAACAATGCCACCTTAGATGTGAGAATATCTGGAAGATCGTTAATGTAAATTAAAAAGAGTATAAGGCCAAGGGTAGAACTTTCAGGAATCCCTGAAGTTACAGGATATGAAGAAGAGTGCTGTCCGTCAAGGACAACTTTTATACTATAATTGGAAAGAAAGGACTCAATAGTCCTGAAGATGTTACTTGATATATTGTATAAAAAAAGCTTATGGAGAAAACCAGCATGCCAAACTTTAACAAAAGCTTTAGAAATACATACTCTTGCTTGATCTTTTAAAAACCTTGTTTTTTTATTAATTTTTTTTTTATAAATTTATAAGACCATAAAAATTTTTAAAACTTAAAAAAAAAAGTTTTTTTAATTGATAGATTGCCTGCCTAAACCAAAACCCTCAGTTGATGTAGCAGCACTCCTCTCACATTCTACCTATTTGTCAGTCGTTGTAGCAATACTCCTTGCATGTTCTCCTTATTTATCAGACAATGCAGCAGTCAAAACAGTCAGTCCTTGTTCGATTTATGTTAATAGTAAAAAAATAAAAGCATTCTGAATGCTTTTATTTTTATTTTAAAAATAAAAAAAAGTATATAAAGTTTTTGTGGTTTTTTATAAAACAAAAAAATATATACATGCATAGATATAAAACAGATAATATTGATATAAGAATGCAATTTCCTAATATATTTTGTGCGCTTTAATTCTTAAAATATTTGCTTTGATTTTAAAAAAATCTAAACATGCATACAAGCCTTCCCAGGAAAGGCGTGCAGTTTTTCGTCTTGTATGACCACACGCAAGTATTTTATTTTAGACAACTTGAACATGGCCATCTGCAAGTTTTATAATAATCAGTGCTGAAAAAGTTTCAAAAACAAAAAATAAAACTAACAAAATAAAAAGAGATTAAAATAGAAAAAAATAAAAACACATTAGTAGTTTAAATTATTTGTCTACTGTTTTTATTTTTAATTCTTTAGAGTGGTTGTTATATTCAGCAACAAAATTAGATAAGGTAAAGCAAAAAAAAAAAACAGTTTGAAGTCTACAAAATAAAAAGAATGATTTTCCTTTTCTTAACTTTTTTTTTAAGAGGATAGCAAAAATATAAATTGCAATGTGTTTGTAAAATATATTTGTATAATTTTAATGTAACAACAAGGGCTGATTTAAGCAAATGCAAAACACAAAATCTGGAAAAATATCTAGTTTCAAAATTTTCAATTCAAAATTCAAAATTTCAATTCAATCTAAAATTCAAAATTTTAGTTTATACAAAACCGTGTTCCTTTTTTTTTTAAGGGGCGAATCAATTTAAATTTGTAAGCGAAAAAATAAAAAATAAAACAATAAACTTACGATTACAAAAGTAATAACACTCTTGTCACTAACTGCATTACAAAAGTAATAACACTATAATAGTGTTATTACTTTTATAACGCTCTTATAACTTTTAAAATTCATTCTTTGTTCAAGCAACATAAGTAATCCCAAATTTTAATTGAAGTAGAAAATATCTAGAAGAATAAAGTGGATGTTTAAATGATATTTAAAACTTAAATAACTTATAGAGGCGTGACAAACAACTTTATAAAAACGTAACGTATTAAAAGTTTAGCATTATGAAAAGCGTTACTAATGGACCGTAAAAACTTAATTTTAAAATTAACCAATAAAAATTTTTTATTGGTTGATTTTAAAATTAATGTGCGTTTTTATGTAACCTTTTTCATAATGCTAAACTTTTTATAAAGTACTCTTTTATAACGTTGTTTAAGTGATTTGTAAAAGTTCCTGAAATTTTTATTAATATTTTAATATCCGCTTTATTTTATCTAGATGCTTTTCTACTTTAATAAATGTTTGGAATTAATAATGTTGTTTAAACAAAGAATGAACTTTAAAAGTAATAAGTGCTTTATAAATGTAATAACACTATTATAGTTTGATTACTTTTATAATACAGTTAGTGACTAAAGTGTTTGAACAAAGAATGAACTTTGAAAGTAATAAGTGCTTTATAAATGTATTATCTCTATTATAGTCTGATTACTTTTTTAATGCAGTTAGTGACTAAAATGTTTTTTGCAACGTTCTCGCAAGCAAACTTTTAATAATTTGCTCCTTGTAA